GTAAACCAAAAAAAAAATCAATTGGCTTTTCTTTATGGAGGACTATTCAAAGATGTGGGGATACGGGGGGGTAGGGGGGAGAAATCTGTTTTACAAGGGAGAAGGAAGGTGAGGTAACTAAACAAGAACGCAATTCCAACCTGCAGGGAATCACAGGCAGTTACAAGATCTTTTTCTACTTATCTTATTTCATTTGGGAGTAATAAGTAATTGAGAATATAGATTCATTTGAAAGTAAATGAAAGTGGCTTGCGCGGTTGAAGTACTGAAGTATTTTTTTCCAGTCTTTCGCTATGAAAGACTACAAAGTCAAAACCTTACAGAAATACTTATCAGTAAAGCACTAATGGGAATTGTGATGCATATGGCCATATGTTATTTAGAAAATTCAGGTAATAGGCATTCTGAACTGTGAAACAAACTACCCTGCACTTGCTTGAGAAGCAATAAGGGTAGAATAGTAAAATGGGGCCAAGTAATTCTGAGCTGTGTATACAGAAATACCAAGGAAAACAGGTGGTGGTTTCTTCTGTGACATTGACTGCCCATATAACAGTTTCTATGTATGTATGTATACATATATATACATACATAGATTGCTATATATATATAAATATAGCAATCTACCATCAGAAAAATACTGATAAATTGGAGGGAATATGTGCAAATAAAGCCCAGGTTCTAGGGGAATAGTTGTCCCTCTCCTTCTGGGTTGTCTAGCAAAATTTGGTTTTGAAGCGTACAAATATAAAAAGTGAGAAGCTCAAGAAAGCAAAGGAGCTACTTGATTCGAGTGAAAAGGGACTTAGCTAAGAATGGAATGAAATGAGTAATGGGCCATGTAGACGAGATTTCATGGCAGAAAAATCAGTTTTTTAGGCCAGGAAAATGTATCTCTTAAAAGTATGCAGTAGAATCTTATCACCTTTCTAGGAGATGGACTGGACTGAAGCAAAAATACTGATGTACCTCAGGGACAGCTGTGCTCTGTAGAGGCAGTGGACTTTGTCACCTATCAGAAATATTTATGTCTCTCAAGCATTATATTCAAAAAGCAAAGTGCTTTTTCTCCAACTCAGTGGTTTCCTGTAAAGGGACAGAGGAGATGTGCAAGTTCATCAAGCAGACCTCAGCTGAAAGGAGTGATGTATTGTATAAACAGGTTCAGAGGTTGTTTTTTGTTTGTTTTTGTTTTACTACAGTTACTGAAGTGCCATAAATGTCTTCTCTGTGGTGAATTTCTCTTCCTGGAGTGACTTTTATGGTCCATAGGTATACAAATTTGGCCTAGATTAGGTGGCCACTTCCAAAGCTGTGTAACTGGGTTTTTCTGTTAGTACTGAATAAGTTTTAGAGTTAACTATGTTGAGCAATTGATATAAGAGTCAAGGAAGACTACACTAGTGCATCTGAGCATAATATTAAGGAAACTGAACAACATTTGCTTGATGTGTTGAGCCAGACATTTGCAAATGCAAATATCTACATGGGGTGCCTAGCTCTTGGAAAAACCATAAAAGGATTTAGTGTAAACTAACATAAAAAGAGTACCTTTTCCCCTTTAAAGTTACTACTTCTTCAATCTGAATTATTTCGTGTGTATAATGCGTGCTGCATAATTACAATATACTTGCAGGGCAGTAGGAGCAGGTTTCTCTGCAAGGCATATTTCTCTTATATTGACTGTTCAACTTCACTCTTTAAACCAATACATTTTGTTAGGATCCAGATGAGATGTAATATCTGAACTGTCTTCAGGTGGGCTCAAAGATAAAGCAAATGAAGTAGTTCAGAGATCAGGGTTAATTCCACGCAAAGATTTTTCAAGATTTTAAATAATCTGCTTTTAATATTATTTATGCGTGAATACCTGGCTTCTGCCCCTTCATAGCTGTGAGGGTGAGCAGATTAAATGACCAAGATTTTAGTCATCTGATGACTTAATAACGAGCTGTCTTTAGTATGTATATTGTACACTGCTGATAAATACTGATGGAGTCTCTGCCACTTCACTGAATATTTTAGAAGCATTGCTCAGGGTATAGGAGAATGGCAGGCTTTTGGCTAAGGTTTGGGAACTTCTGTTCTCTCGGACTTCCCTTGCATGTTCTGTGCCAAGTCTCTTTACTTTCTCTGTACTGGTTTTTGCAGCTACATACTCAGTAATATGTATCTGCCTTTGAATTGAGTTTAGGATTAATTTAAGTGTCAGAATGATTGGAAAGCCTCAAATGAGAGGCATAATAACCATGCAAAAATCTTTTTTTTTTCTTGAGTGCCAGTTCTTTTCAGTCAGAATCATTCTTCAAGGCATGAGTCTAAGAATTGTTTTTGTACTAGCAGACAGTGTCCCAATGCGCTTGACTAAAGCGGAATTGACCAGTGCTGATTGAACTGATGGGAGATGCTTGCTTTTTAAGAGCAGTGGTATTTTAACTCCCTCCATGATTGGACAAGGCTTGCTTATTGCAGCCAGATTTGGTCCAAGTTGGAAATTCATGCTCTTGCTCCTCAGATGACATTGCTTTGTAGTTCAAGGAGTTCACTTACAAGCTTACTTTGGAGAAAATGATATCTAATAGGCATTTTAACCTGATTTTTGTTCTCATTTCTTGGCAGTATATGTGAAAAGTGGGTGCGGAGGGCAAGTCGTTTGTCAAAGTTTTGTTAAAATATTACCCTGCTTAATCTGTAAAGCAGTCCAACTTGCCATAGTGTCTAATGCACAATATAATTACTTTTTATGCATTTCCCCTCATAAGTAATCAAAATCAATTTACGGAAAATGTATTTTGCTGGGGTTTGCATTGGGGAATTGCTTTGCCTACGGGCATCCAGGTTGCCATGACAGTTTCAAAGATGCCCTTCATTTTCCTCTTGTAGAAGTTGTAATTTGCAATTGCAGTAAATGACAAGCAGATAACTATCAAAAAAACTGAGGTTCACTGATGGATTCCAGAAGTGAAGACTTGTGTTCTCAATTTGTACGCTAAACCTCAGAAGGAAAGGGATTGGTTTTCTGCTTAATATGACAAGTAAATCAGTGACTCTGAAAACTTGAGAATACCAGAACAGCACTATGCTTCATACGTATTAGAGCTGTGTAAACCAGTGTGTGTATGGTCAGCTTCATTGACCTGACTGGCCAATGTCATTCATGCTTAGCTCCCTTATAACACAACACACACACACATTAAATGATTTATTTTGCAACACTTCATAACCTGTGCTCTAATAACTTATTTCCTAATGTGATGGAACAGAAAATGTTCTTATAAACCTATTGTAAACCTGTAAGTGAATGCTGTTATGCTCTGCTTATCCATTCATATCCATTTGTCTAGCATATTGTTGGATGTGGAATTTAAACACTGATCCAAACGTGATAAGGGTCAAAATATGTAATTTTTTTTTCAGTTTATTTGCATTTGTGACTGAGAATCTTTTTTTATTTTTGTTTTTTCCCCCCTCCTTCGGTTGCTGTGGAATGTGAGTGCTTTTAATATGTAGTTTGTCTAGGAAGGGGAGGTGTGCTAATTTCTAGATGAAGCAGTGGTTTCTGATATCACTGGCAAGTTCTGTATTCTTCAGTCTCTCTTCAACCCTCTAGAGGAGTCTTGTGCAATCCTCCAAGTCTTTTACAATAGTTTAGTAGCACCACAGGGTTTGTAAATGTTAAACCATGCTTTTTTTCCTTCGTAGTGTTCCCCTTTGAATGGTCTCTGAGGCTATTTAGGGTAACATGCTGCTGCTCTTCCTGTCTGTCTCATCTTAGATGCTCAAGAGCCTTCTGGCTGAGGATGTGGTTCTTGCAGCAGCTTCTGCTCTTTAGTCCATTTTGTAAATGAGAAAGGAAAGAACAAAAAAGGAGGAAGTGAGAACTGTGTTCAGCTTTTCATGCATAAGTGTGTTGAAGGCATAACTAGGTTTTCCTCTAGTTCATAAGAGGGAATTTTCTCAAAGTGAGCATAAAATGCTAGACTTCAATTTCTGCCAAGATTCAACAAAATGAACCCATAGAATTTCCCTCTCTTTATCACAGTCTTCCTCTTTGGAGCCCTCTTCAAAGGCTGACAGGTTTCTGTCTTCCTTATGTAAGGTAATGAACCATTGTTTGAAAAGTGAGAACATTTGGTAAGTATATACATTTGTGCTCCTGCATAGGCTGATATAAAAAAGGATTAGCTCTCAAAAGAAAAATGAGTTTTGCTTCTTCAAGCAGCATACCTTGCTGAATGCTTTCAGGTGACTTGAATTCTTAAGCGAGTTCTTGGCAATTGCTAGTTACTTTGCCTTATCTCATTGCTGTTAGTTGCATGCACAAGTGTAAAAGTTCTCCTTTCGCGCTCCTTCTCCTTCTCTGCCCCACAGCCCCCAAACAAAAGAGAAACAAATGTAGTTTTGTCTAAAGAAAGCATGTTTGTGTAGTCTTTCACTGAAAGCTTGAAGTTGTATTGGTGTTCTGCTTTGTAGGACTTTTTTTAAGCAGTGAATGAAAGGAAGTTAACGTATCCTTCACCTATTAGAAAAAAAATCTTAAGTACAGTATAAGCTGAAGTTATCTTTCCTTCAGAGATTAATTTAAAAAAAAAACCACTACCTTTGGTTATGTTTGTATCAACAGTTTCATACATATATTTAAATAAGGCTCAGCTACTTTAGTCTTAAAAGTAACAAGAACAGTTTGACAGGTCAGGCAATTAAAGGTTCAGTTGATTGTTACCTAAGGCAATTTGATTAGTGCGCAGCCCTTACAGTCGCTATTCTATCCATACTGGCAGTACTAATTTCTTAAGTATGCTTTGGAAGTCTTGATTCCTCTCACTGGCAACATAGTAGCATTGAATTTTTTTATTTTTTTTCTTACAGATTTATTTTAAGGATGGCACTGAAATGTTTCTTTTTTCCACCTCACAGTGAAAGATCCAGTGGAATGAAATCTAGCAAACTAGATTATAAAATAATTTCTTTCTTTTTGATGTTTTGTTTTATTTTAAAAGGACTAACCAGCCAGGAATTTTCACAAAGAAAGAATTTGATCAGTTGGCGTCAGTGGTAGACAGCTTCAGTCTCATGACATATGACTATTCAACACCACAACGGTAAGATTCTGATGCTAGCTCAAGATTGCTGAAGTAACTGGTTCCCGATTATTTTGCTATTAAATCTGCAATATGAGTTGACCTTTTGGTAAAGTGGACAGTTTGTTTTCAGTGTGCGAAATATAAAATTTGGGGATTAGTAGTTAAGATTGTAAGTGATTTTTGAACCAGTCAAGAACTTGGAACAGTGTTTAACTGCTATGTAGGTTTGGCACCCAGATGTTGTGAAATGCTTTGCATTCGAACTAAAGAATTATACTTTTTACTGGTACTGTGACACTTACTTTTTCCAGGCAAGATTCCTCAGTTTTGGTTATTTGGCACATTTTTGTCTGACAGGTACATGAATGATCCAGTACATGTCATTCTGGGAAAAATTTGCTTTTAAGCACAATGGACAGCTTCATTTCTCTGTTTCATCCTGAGACAGCAGGCTGCCTTTTGGCAGCTCTGGTAATGCAGACATGCTTAAACGTGTTTTTGTTTTCTTCCACTAGTCCTTCCCCTGTCTGCTAAAGCTTTCTGTGCGGCAGCTCAGTGAACCAGATCAGGGAACTGATCTGACTGAAAATAACACAAAACACCAGCCTTGTACATAAACGTTCATTTTCTGCCATGCCATATTTTTAACTGTGTGAAAGCGGAACAGCAGCGGAGGTAACAGGTACTTAAACTCTGCTGAATCTGTTATGTTACCGTTCTGCAAAAGCACAGAGAATGATGCACAGTCTCCCAGGAATTCCAAAACTGTATCTTGCTTCAGGGTGGCTGTACAGAGTTAATGCTTGCAGTGAACTGGCAGCTTTGGAAACGCCATCACTTTTGTGTGTAGTGTACCACTAGGCCCTTTGTCATCCTTAGTATATTAGCTTCTTGATAACATCTAGACAGGCTTACTAGAAGGAAAATTTGTCTCTTCAGAAGAGAATTTATGTAACTTGTTCCTATCTCTCACCAGGCCCTGTTTCTAGATCTTCAAGCCTAGTGCCCTAGAGGGAAAGCGAACATATAGGTAGTAATGTACACTGAAACTGGAAGAGTTTTTATTAGTCTTTCCTGCTGGAATATGTTGCATTCCCAGCAAAATTGCTTATAGCTTTGAAATATAAGAGGAAGCTGTCAACAACATGAATCCTTATTGCAGTGTCCATGATAATTCTACTGTGAATCTTGGACTAACATTTACTTTTCACAAAATGCCAAGACTGTCTTAAAATGCACTTTTTTGACTAGATTAATGTTGCAGCATCTTCTGCATGTGTTAATGAAATAGGCTATTTAGGAATGCATCTATAGTGACTAAAATCACAAGTTAGTTCAGCAGTTATATATTACATTGCCTCATTTTTTTTCTTCATTTTTAGGTGGGTCTCAAGGTCAAACATTCACAAGTCAGGATTTTAACTTAAAGTGAGATTTTGCTAGAATGACAAGTGAGTTTGTTCAGAAAAGTCTGTTACCAAGATTTGTATGTCAGAATCTCTCTACACTGCAATCAGAGGAGTGATTGCCACATAAATATATATATTGATATAGAGATATATATATATATCAGTTTAATCACCTTAGTAACGCAGACATCTATGAAGATAAGCTTATATAGGCTTTAGTACAGGTTGTACAAACCCGTCTGGAACCCTGGGTTCGTTCTGAGTTAAAAATCTCTAAGAGACTTTCTCTGTGTGTCTTCTGTGTAGTGAAGCTGCGCTGTGCTTTATGCCATGTTAGAATCACATGTTCTGCTATGGTACAGTCATATCCTTTATGTTTTCACTGGTGCATTAGGTTACTTAGATCTGAGCTTGAGCTGCTAATCTTGTACTTGCAAGGGAGATGGAGGCAGTTTTCAGGTGACACACCCATTGTATTTAAAATAAACATAGTTTCTGAGGTGTAATGCTTCTAGTCTGAGAGAATTTTTGAAAAAAGAATTCAAATTTTTTATGCTAGACTTTGTTTAGTCTGAATATATGAAATACAGGATGATACATGTATTTTCTCACACAATTGTTGCCTTTAAATATAAACATAATTTCCAGCAAAATTCTGTACTGCAGTAGCACATTGAATTTTAATGGCACAGATATCCAGAATGCTTTGAGGCAGATAATTAGCAGGGAGTAAAAGATGCTGATATTTATGAGACTGGAATATGTTTTACCTTTTATTATGCTACTGAGTGTTTGCAAGGAAGCCTGTTTTCCTTTCCTAGGAAAGTTTCCTAGGAACTAGGGAGGGAGGGAGGGAGCATGATATCCGGATGTTGTATGTATGACAATTCAACCAGTCTATGTATTCCGACTGTACTCATTTTGTGAATGTGGTTTTTTATTGTTAGGTAGCTTCCCATCTAGGTTTTTGTCCAGAAATAAACTGTACAAATGCTAAGTAACTATTGAAACCTGCATTGCTCACCAGTCGCTCTTTTATTTATATTTTTGCTGCAAATAAGTGGTGAATTTTGTCCCATTGTTATACCAGGTTACAGCATGGAAAGCACCTGAAGTTATAGTGTTTTGAATTCTCTTGTGGGAGTTATGGCAGACTGAGTGATACAGAAAACCTGTTAGGTGAAAAACTCTTCTTACCTACTGTAAGAAGACTCATCTTCTTTTACCTTAGAAATGGATCATGAAGGCAACTGATGAGTGAGACAGCATATTTTGTGCATCAGCAATTCAAGCCACCAATAAATGTGCATTTCATCATCATAAGATCATGTGTTAACCTTCGCTGCTCTTGGTGTGCTGTAGTTTACTCTCTACATTTACATTAGTTAAAAGGAGAAAGCTGATGAGAATGATTGTACGCTCTTTCTGACAACCTGTTTGTTTTTAACTAATCCAACAGACCTGGTCCAAATTCCCCTCTTCCATGGGTACGAGCCTGTGTTCAGGTACTGGATCCTGATTCAAAATGGAGGAATAAAATACTTCTAGGGCTGAATTTCTATGGCATGGATTATTCTGCTTTGGGAGCCTCTGGGGAGCCAATCCTTGGTAGCAGGTAAGACTTCTCTGGATAGCGAGTACTTCTGTATCGGGTGTTCTCACAGTCTTAGAAATTCATAGATGTTCCTGTTTAGAAATAGAGACTTGCTCATAACAGAGAAATGGCAAAAGGGATAAATCTGCACATGAAATAGTAACTTACTAGTTATGGAAATAAGACCTGTTCTCTGCGCAGAAGCGCAGATGAAGGGTGCGGATACTCTGTTGGGACTGCTATGGAGAAATGGTTTGTGTAATTTTTCCTCCTTCCTCTATGTATGCTCATACGTAGTTTGCGGCCTTTCTGTTACAATATTCTGAGGTTTTATCTTCTGTATCAGTTATGGGTTCATGCAGTTGACCTACAGATTGGTTTTCTCAGCTCCTGAAGTTGCTACCTGTTCTTTGAAATTTGATATTTGTTTCAAACAGCAATATGCCACCAAGTTTCTCTTGAGTAGAAAAAGCTCACATGGAGACAAAAAATTCTAAGATAAATAAAAGGAAGTTTTCCAAAGACAGCCTGAAAATCTATTTTGATTCTCAGAAGAGAATGGTTGTCTTTTGGGTAATAACCACATTTAATAAACAATGAGCTTCATAGAAGTATGGATGGGGTATAGCACATTGAGCCAGAAGAGAAAGCGAGAAAAATATCAGTGTGCATTTGGCAGGAAAATCAAGTTTGTTCAGAAGCTTGCTATTAACTTATAAAACAAAATCAAGCCAAATGGAAACAATCCTGAAGCACAAGAGGTGACTGTTCTCATTTTCATGCATAGGTTACTAAGTTCATTACAGCAGGATATTTCAGTATGGTAACAGATTGCCTATAAGGCATTGAAACACAGTCTGAGATGGCACATCTAAGGCGAGAGCATGAATATTCTGTCTGTGCTTTCAGTTATGCAAACACTTTGTGATCATATGAATTGCACTTGTCTGCAGTGTCTTTCTGTTTCACTGTGACAGTTTGTTGGGGTATAATACTGCAGACGGTTTTTTCCCCCCGAGTGCTGAATTGTGTCCGAGTCTAGCTGAATAATAGAAAATGACTACAAGGTGGAGGAGATAAAGCCACTGTCTACAGTTAAAGGTTGTAAATGCTGAATGATCATTGCAGGATGTATGAGGATGGCTTCCATAGTGAATTGTAGTGGTTAGGTAGGAAAAATACTGACAGGTCCAAAGCACTGTTGCTTTACAAGCCTAATTCTGCAAGGTCAGCATAACTAATGTAGTTTCACTGTAATATTTACAGTTCTTTCTGGCAGGAGTATCACGGTATCTGGCAGAATGAAAGGGTTTTACTGCTTTTTTCTGGGTCACAACTTTTGCAGTGACGTTTCCACTTGAAAACGTACCATGCGTTAGTATCTACTTTGGCTTTTCATAGGTTAGTCTGGACTATATTATAGGATTAATTCATGCCATTTGTGAATTAACAGCAGAAGTCTCCTAGGTAAGAGTCGTATATGATCAACCTAATCCAATTTGTGCTTCTCTTTCTATTTTAAAAGAGAGCATGTTGAGCTATATATAGGGCACTGGTACGCAGTAAGGAGTAAGACGTATTTTACAGAGAATGATCCTGTTAACATATACTGCAGTGACAGACTGTGATACTGTCATTTTTCAAATATCTACTGGAAGCAATATTCTGAGCAAAGTGTTTAACTTTAAAAGATTAGATTTTTACACAAAACCCTATAATTAGGATTTTACTGCCTTACCCATTAAACACCTGTCAGTGGTTAAGCTTATTTTTCCAGAAGTATATTTTGAGCTTGCACGGTTATACTTAATCTTTGCTGAATGTGCCATATATAGTAATATAACAGTAAAAATAGGCTGGCTGAGCATCTGAATGAAAAAATTAAAGGCTACTGGAATTAATAAACTTTTTCCATTCTAAGTGGTAACAGGCTGTTTGTAAAGAAGTCTCAATTTCTAGCATTTTTGAATCTTTGAAAACCATCAATATCATATCCAGTTGAATCCCATAATGGGCACAGTTTATTCAGAGATCCTCTACCACTGCCCCCTCCTCGATAAAGGCTTCTCCCTTATTCGACACTGATATAGCCAGCGTATGAAAATCCGGGTTTTGTCTTTCTCTAGTAAGACACATAGCTGAGATTGATCCTGTTCTTATTTTTGTCTGCTTCATGCTACATCCAAAGGCTGCTCAGTAATCGTGTCCAGTGTAGAAGTGTATGGCTTGATTATTTACTTTTCTCATCTTGGCTTCTTAGTGAATCTAAGCTTCCACTTTTTTGGTGGCTATAATCTAGTCTGGCGTATGACATGTCAGAAGTGTTCAAGGCTTGAGTTATGTCTCCTTTTAAGACAGCCTCCATATGTGTAGTGATAGTGACTGAAGTACTTTAAGTGACTGATAGTTAAGCTGAAGTACTGGTATTAAAATTAATTACAAATCTGTTTAGTTAAGTGCAGTTTGGTTGGTGTCATTATTTTTGTAGTAGGTTTTTCTTTAGGCTTTTGCATTTGAGATTTATTGCACATATAAGTTTGCAACAGCCCGCTGTTCCTTGGCAAACTGCAGGGTACACACTGTCTTGGTTGAAGCTTATTGATCTGAGTCTGATCACTTTTAATGAGTGCTGGAGAGTTGTTAGCTTCAGTGGCAAACTATATATTTTCAAGCTGTTTGATGTAAATATAGTATGCCCTTAATTTTTATTAGTATATTATATATATAGAATTATGTGCGGAGACACAGAGTATAGAAACCTTTACTGGCCTCATGTTTGTGCCTTTCTTCAGGATAGGAATTATGTGGTGGAATGAGGCTCAGAACATAAGCAGTTTTCATTCACTGAATGTTTTTTCAGTCAGGAAGCTTGTAAAATAATTTTGAGTAGAATTTCTATTTGCATAAAATATTATCTGGTAGTGGGTTTTTTTGCAGAGTGTAATCTAAAGCTAGAATTACTCCACTGCCATTTGACTGAAAAGATATATAACCTTTCTATATAATATCCTTTCTCCTTCATGCATGCCATAAAAAGTAATATGTGTGTGTATGTGCTTGTGTATGTATATTTATCAGAATTAAAGGAAATAAAAATTTTTCTCTTGCAGTATAACGTAGTTTGTCTTTGGGAGTTGCTCCAGTAGGAGCTGCAGCTTATGTTTTGCAGTAACAACGTGTTCATCGTTCCCTTGTGGCTCAGTTGTAAATATTATTTGTTAATATGATGAGTCTGTCCTAGAGATGATAGGACATTCTGGTGCTGTAATCAAGCAAGTACCAGTGTAATTTGGCTGTTGGGAAGTTACCTTCCCGTATATATTTAGTTCCGACATAATTTATATGAAATGCTAAACTGAACTAAAGATTATATGTCTGTGATTTCCCCAAATCACTCTAGTGCTTCTGGCAGTGTTCATTGCCCTCTGGCTGTTGAGAATCAGGTGTCTGGACTGCGAAGGTGCAGTCATTAAAACCTACCACTGTGTTTAAATCCTGTCAGAACATAACCATCTGGTGTTGCTGACTTGCTGCTTTAATGATCAGTTTGTTCCAGCATGTCCTCTACCAGTATCTCAACCTGACTGTACTTCATCTTCATTTCAAAAAAGTACATCTTCAGTAAATAATTCCTCAGTATGTTCTCAAGATTGAGAAGTCATTTAGCCTTTCTGCAGCATCTGTACCCTTGAGTCCTTTCTGAGATTTGCAATAGGTCAGCAAGCCCTGCAGTCTCATAAGCGTCTTACTCCCTATATCTTTTTTTTTTCCTCCCCTTTACCTATCTCCTCTTCCAGTTCTCTCTTAATCATTGGGGCATTATATTTCAATTGCAGTAGTACCCACTGCTTTCTTTTTCCTTCTTGTGGGAGGTTAAACTGCAGTCCAGGGGTGTTTTCTGATCCATGCCATCTACAATCTGGAGTCTTTATGACCTGGACAAAATGGGAGCTGGGTAAGCTTCACTGCCATCTGGGAGTTAGAAGCAATGTAAATGAGGCTCTCATGTGGCAATGGGGCCACTTTAGTTTAATAAATCATCCTTCTCTATTGAGTGCATCCCTGCTAAATTTAATGCATTACAGACATTTTGTCTTGTCTTTTTTTTTTTTTTGGTGCGGTACTGCAAGAGGGAAGATATATCTCTGATGCTCCACTTGGTTGTAAATAACTTTTGAATATATTCTGCATCCAAGCTGCTTTTGTTCCAGTTGTAGCTGTTGAAAATAGATATGTGAATAACTCCATTGTTGTAAGCCAGTGCTGTGTGTGCTTACCTTTTATTTAAGGGAATTTGAATAGGGATTTTTATGTTAATTTTAAACACTTAAAAAGATTGATATAATAAATTGCTAGCTGAGGCATGGGAGAGACTAATTTGACAATGCATTGTGCTCTGCAGAGATAGAAAATAAGATGACTTGTAAGCTTTGTGCGGATGTACAGGTCTACTGAGAATTTTACTGGCTGCCTGCCATTCTGTAAATAGCAGGTAATAAGAAGTGATACTTAGAAGCAGTTAGAGGTGAGCTTTTTCCTTGAATTATCATGGCAGTGTCCTTACTAACAGCAATTTAAGAAGATTTGAGCCCACTGTGACTTGTGTTTTTTGTCTTATAAGAGGTAGCAAAGAACTTGTGCAAGGAAGGCTTTTACTCTTTAACATCTTGTTATAATTCTGTCAGGATTTCCATTACTTCCTCGCATACTAGGATTCTGTCCCCCAATTTCTTCCATTTTACTTATAGTTGATGCAGCTTAGAGGAGACGCTGATATTTCAGGTAAAATGATGGCCCAATCAACCCTGTAGGATTGAGCATCCTCTTAATCTGTAGTCTTCCTCCTCCGTTCTTAGGAGAAATGTTAAGTTCCTACTTCCTAAATTGTACTGCCGGGTCAGATGTAAAAACTATGGCAGTGATGGAATGAAGTTACAATTGGTCTTGGAATCAGAAAAAAGTTATCTCTGTATTACAGATGTCTAAATAATTCAGGAGTATTTCAAAAGATTTATTCTGTT